AAAACAAATTGGGTTATCTAAGTAGAAATGGGACAGGCCTGGTAAGAGGGACACAGAGTACTAAAATCTAATTTTATTCAGTAGTTATACATTCCCTATCTACCCTCTGAAAATGTGTCCTACTCGTTCCTAATAAGCAGCAATGCTGAGAGGTGTGTTATCTTTCCTTTCCTATCCTCTACTGAAAGCAAACAGCAGGAGAGAAGGTAGTTTATGCACAACTAAACCAAAACCTCAAGACATTGGAATAGAGAAAAACAGTGTGCTCAGAGTCCTGTTTTATGTCTAGTGATTAAAACTCTAGAGGGCAAATGTGGGGAAAACAGTGGGATGCAAAGTGCTTGCTGAGAACATGAAGTCAAGGATGGAGGCCAGGGGCTCCAGTCCCAAACCTCCCTAGGCTGGGCTGCAGGCAGTCCCTCTCCCACCCCAACCAGTGGAAGCTGTTGGGGCATAATGTTGACAAAGCACCAGGAAGAGGCCTCCTCAGATCAGAGGGAGGCCAGGTCAGCCCCTGCACACTTCCCCAAGGTGCACACCCGCCCAAGCCAGCAGGGTGGGAGTGGAGGGGGAGGGGACAGAAGCAAAGGGTGGCTACCAGAACAATAGCACCTGAGTCCTACAGCAGGTGCAGCGCTAGCAGGGCTGGTTTTCCTAAGGGAAAGAGGAGCCTCAAGTTCTTTCCATCAAAATTCCTGAGAAATCTGCTAGCACGGCAGAGCAGCCTTCCCTGGAGCCACAGCTCCGGTGCAAACCCGAGGTCAAAGAACAGATGTGATTCCACCTCCAACGAACCCCCAATCCCAGCTTTTGATTCAAGGTTAAGTATCCTCAGGTCTCTCCTCCACATCCAGAAAATGCCAGATTATTTAGGTAATACTTCAAGGTAGCGACTGAGGGATTGGAATCAAACATTAGATTTGAAATTTCATTTATTAGCCATGAGACTTGAAGCAAGTTCCTCCCTCTCTGCTCATCCCTTTTCTTACCTGTAAAATTCAGATAGCGCCTACCTTAAAGGAATTCACATTCTAAGACAACGTCTAACATTCGATACCTGATAGATACATCTTATTACCCTTCTCTTCCTTCTTTGACCAAAATATATTTTGTCAAAAATGTGACCCCAAATCTCATTTTCTAGGCATCCACTTGGTTAAAGCTCAGTATGGAGATTTCAATGTAGTGCCTAAGGTACCTTAGTCACTACTGCACTGAATACCATTCAAAAACTGTGCTATGGGCTTAAGAATAACTCTTATTTTATTTATAATGGATTATGACCACAAGGTTACATAGCAGTAAATTCACAGTAGTGATTTATTTTTTGTAAAACAAGACTTGCAAAGCACAAACACTACCCAGAAATACTTACACCACTTTACAACTGCAGGGTCTCTGCTGGACTCTTTGAATATCACGGCACCATTTCTGTGCTGCTTTTAGTAATCAATCTTTTTTTTTAAAATGAAGCTCAATTTTTAAGTTATATTGAGAAATCTATGGTAAGGCTTCCGGGGTAGTGAAGTTGGAGCAGTCATTATCATGGAGCTTGACCTTTCTTTCTTTGTTTCTTGCTGTTTTCAGGTCATAAAGTCCTGAGGCAAGAAAGTCTAATGGACTTGCCTACAGGACAGCAGGCTCTCCAGAAGACACTGCTGTGCTAAAGCCATTTACTCCTGGGGAGAAGCCAGTGTAACCTAGGGGAAGGAGTAAAGGAGAGGAGGGAGAAGTATCTGGCTTTAGAGTAACCTCCCAGAAGATGGGTGCTGTTAGGGTATCTCTCAAACACAGGGCATACGTAGAAACACATGGACTTTCACACACTCATCTATATAAACACATCCACAAGTTATTTGCTGAGATACACACCCATCTGTTACGGATAACACAGATGTTCAGATGGCTAACATAAACATGCCGTCCATCTGGTAATTACACTCAGAGAAATGCTCACATATATAGAAACACACACCCACAAACAAATGTGCGTCCCAGTGTAGGGAGCCTTCCATAGCAGGGTTCACAGAGACGAGAGTAAACAAGGACTTGATTTTGCTGATTTCATTGAGCGGCTGCTACACTCACTCTCCCGGGAAAAAGTAAGGAGGGGCAGGGTCATCCGTTTCTGTCAGCCTAACAGGCTCATGGCTTCCCACAGGGCTACAGCCTTATCTATATACATGCACACCAAAGTGACCAGGAGACACAAGAAAGAGAGTACTCGACTACCACCAACTATGGTGAAGACAGCGGAGCACCTCATGCCCACCCAACACACACCCGAACAGCCACCATCTCCCCACTGCAAAGGAGGTCCGAGCTCTGGCAATGAGCCGCAGCACAGCACACACATACACATATACTACGGCCACTTTCCTCTATCCATTGGCTGTACAGAATTTGTCCTGTGCGTAGACAGAGGACAGAGAGGAAGGAAGGGAGATGACGACAGCTGGGCAAAAAATGGTCAAGCATTTTCTCCAGGGCTTACTTAAAAAACTTTCGCAAAACCGTTACACGTTTTGACTTAACTGATAATGCAAAGGATGGATCGATCACAAAACCTTAAAATCCCTTCCAGCTCTAAGAACGCAGACTTCAATGTTTAGTTCATGGACGATTCAAAATGGTCATTATCTTCAAAAGTACACACTTAAGAACAGAAACTATCTACCGGTTAAAACATCACCAGGGAAGAGAACAACCTCAGACATATACTCCTCATTAAGTTTTTCTACTCCTTACTGTTTAACGTTCACATTTTAATAACAGGTTGAAAGTTATAGAAAATCTATAAAATTTCAGGCAAACAAAATCTTGTATCCTGTAATGTGAACTTATCTTCTAATTCTACTAGCCCAGGGCACAGTTTACTCCTTTTCAAAAGAAGAGCTTATTGACTGCAAGAACTGAAAAGGACTGTGTTCAGTTGTATGATACAGCTTTTCTGAAAACTTACGTTTTTTAAAAAATGCCATTTACATTGTTCCCACTGCACCAGTAACTCAAGCTATTAAGAGTTTGCAAGTGCAAAGCCTTGATACAAAGATCCTGCATTTTATTACGTTGTTCTTTCGAAAAGGACTCAATACAAAGTCAGTGTAAAAAAATCAATATTCAATTTAAAACAGAAACAATAATTTCACAAAGTCTGACATTCTCCTATGCAAAGACTGGGAGAGAGAGAAAAGAAATTCCTTAATTTAAACCTTTCTTCACCCTGCTGGGAAGGCAGGCACCAAAGCCATGAATCCAACTTAACCCCTTCTGGACTGGTAATTGAAGACAGGGTTGTAAGCAGTTTTTTAGAATGCTGATGGACAGTGTCATGATTAACCATATGAATATACACGTGTGGTACTTCTGTTGCTGGGTTTCTGATGCAGCAGCCTCTGATACATTTAGTCTGGGACAGTATAACCTTTATGCAGCCAAAGTCTCTTATACATTCACCATCCCTTGCCCAGTCTCCCAAAATATATTCCTGAGAAAGACATCAAAAGGAATGTCCGGCTTGAAGGGACCTAAAGGCAAAACTAAGAAGAACAAAAGCACCACGGTTACATGGTATGTGTTTTTCATAAACGGAAACCATGTAGTTAAATAGTATGTCTTGGCTTCACACCATACCGACTGGTTTCTCCTTCCTGCTTTTCCAACACATCTTCTTGTTGACCTGAAGGCTGTGGATTCAAGGACGCTGTTTACTTTTTCAGGTACAGGTGTGTGACAAACATCAAAAGCCAATTTTGGTTTAAGACAGTAATAACAAACACTGCACCACTTGTGGAATGCATAAGCCAGAAAGGGTACATGCGAACACATACACAAAGAGCATTTGACAGTGTCATCCTTGGCTATAGCAAGGTGACTGGTTACCCTAAACACTGGGGAAAAGCGAGAGTGAACACTTTGCAAAGGTTTGCTGTGGATACAGGAAGGCAGATGGAGGAACTGAAGGCCGCTGCAGGGCTCTGCCCGTTGGCGCCTCCGCTCGCCCGGCCCGGCTGCTCCCCTGGGCCCGGGCCCAGGCAAGCCCACTGAAACCATCTAAGAAACAGACCAGGCTGGCATCATTCTGGATCGCAAGCTCGGCTCCCTCCTTTCCTTTCCCCAGATGCTGCAGCTTGCCCATTCCCTCTCCTTACTTTACTGCCAACTACGAGTGATTTAGCACCAGGGCCTAAAGGAGCCCCTGCACAGGTGGTAAGGGGCGGAGGTGATGAGCGCACAGTGACGGTGGTCAGAGTCAGGGGCTGGACGCCGCAGTTGTCCCTTGGCAGGACAGCTTGCTATAGAGCTTTGTGAGGACGTACCTCCAGGGAAATGGAGGCTCCGAGCTGAACTTGCCAGTCCCTGAGTCACAGCGTGGGTCTCCCCCTGGTGGGTGTGGAGCAGTGGGGGGAGGGGCTCCTGCCGCAGCCTGAAAGGGACATCCTAGCTGGCATGCCCTCCCTGGGACCTACCTGGGGGGTACTTCACCCTTCCCTACGTAAACAAACAATCCGTGGGGGCGGACCTGAGGCTGTGCATGGAGCCCGAGGGCACACGTGAAGAGCCAGGTCCTGGGCGGCTCTGAAGGCTGGGCTCCCTGGCCGGGGCTGCCAGCCAGGTAGGGTGTGGTGTGTTTTGGGAGGGTGGGGGTGGGATGGAGCGGGGTCAGGTAGGCCATCACTGGGTTAGGAAAGAGCTACCTGCTCAAGCTGGTAGGCAAGCAGGTCAAAACCGGGGCAGGTAGATTCTCTCTTTGGGGAAAAAAATAAAATCATTAAGAGCTGTAAACTGACAGTGCACGTTTGTCGTTGTGATCTTTCTCTGCAGAACCTAAGGCAACAGAGAACAAAGACGAAGGCAGGCGTTTCGTGAATGGCCCGTGGCTCCCATGGTGCCGGATGTTTACATGTACAAACACGTATGGACATGTCCTGTCTGGTTCCCTGAAACAGGACAAAGACGTGTCCCCAGAGGCCCACGAGTGGGATGGCCAGAAGCCAGGGCAGGGCTGGGTGCTGGACGAAAGGCAGGGACGAGTCGTAAGGCGAGGTTCCCAAGAACCTCCAGCTCCGCTTTGGTTTGCAGCTGTCACAGAAACGCCAGGGAACGGCTTCTCGAGAGACGTCCCATCCCCAAGTCAGATGTCATCAGTCACTTTTTTCCAGGACGGACATCTTCTGCTTCCTTCCAAATAAAGTGCAGATGGTCAAAGGACCCTGGTCTCTCATCTGCCAGTTCAGTCAGCAATGAAGAATAATAAAAACAAAGATGCCCCTCTGGTATACATATATATCTCTCTATATATTCTTTTTTTTTTTTTAATAAAGCCACAAATATAGAACTTTTAAACTGACGTCTCAGACTGTAAGCGAAGGACAAATTTGTGAGACTTGGGGTCTATGAACTCTTCCGAGAGCATGATGAACGGAATTTTCTTCACATTGACTACGAGGCTGAAGTCCAAGCATTTGAGGACAAAAACGAGTCCATCCCGCAGCCCGCTGGTCACGGCCTCATCACTGACGAGCCGCCACTGCATGGCGAGCCAGCGCTCCCGGTCGTACTGCAGCGTGGGACCCGTGCTGAGGTACCGCTCGAGGAAGGCCTGCAAGGACAAGCGGAGATGCTATTAGGGAGGGAGCGCCTGCTCCAGGTGGTGCTGCTGGGGGCTGCCTGCTCTCACTCCTGGGAAAACATGTCCTCCCAACAAACCAGGATGGGCCCGCAGATCACACCCAATTCCATCAGGACTGCCCCACGGAGTCCCTGCTGGGGAGGGAAGGCTCCCCTACTTTCTCACTCTCCAACCAGAGGGTGCCAACGGTGGTAAGCAGAGAGGCGAGGAAGGCAGGGTGGCTGGTACCCACGTCTGCCCAGAAGCCGTGGCTGAGGCACCAGCCGCCTCTAAGGGCCTGGGTCCCATGGCCCAGGCCACGGCTTGTACCTGTTCATAGGTCGGCCTCCTCCCATCCCGAGAGCTCCTCGGGGCAAGTGCCAAGCATGGAAAAGCACTCTGGGAATGTGAGCAGAAGAAACACAGGGATATACCTGCACACACAAAAACGCATGCTCTGCCCTTACTGCTGTGTGCCTCTGGATGAGCCGCTTAACCTCTCTGCGGGTGGAGGAGATGACAGCGCTAACGCACAGGGCTGCTGTGAGGACGAAGTGGTTGACTCTAACCGTCTCACGGTGCAAGGCTGTTTTATGGGGGATGGGGTGTGCGCGTGGCAAGTCCGGGGGATAGCCGGGCCCCACATCCACCTCCCTCTCTCTCGGCTCTAGCAGGGCGGAGCTCCGTGGGTTCCTCGACATTCCCCTCGACATGTGCTGTTCCTCCTGCTGGATGTCGTCCTTCAGCAAACTCCTCCTGGCCCTTTAAATCTTCTCACACCACTCCCTGAACCTCTCAGACAGGCGAACATGTCCTCCTTTAAGGGCCTCTAATCATGGCATGACTCCCGTGTGACATTTTACTTTCTGAACAATTACTGCCAACTTGCTTGTCTGAGGCCTATACTAAACTATACTCTCCTGGAAGGCAGGAACTATTTTTTTGTTTTTGTTTTTGCGGTACGCGGGCCTCTCACTGCTGTGGCCTCTCCCGTTGCGGAGCACAGGCTCCGGACGCGCAGGCTCAGCGGCCATGGCTCACGGGCCCAGCCGCTCCGTGGCATGTGGGATCTTCCCGGACCGGGGCACGAACCCGTGTCCCCTGCATCGGCAGGCGGACTCTCAACCACTGCACCACCAGGGGAGCCCAGGAACTACTTTTTAAATTCGGATTTTCCATGTGCCTGGCATATGCTGGGGGGCTCAAAAGCGTGTTACATCAATAAATACATCGATTTAGCTTTGAGAAAGAAGAAGAAAGAATGAACCAGGGATCCAGATAGAAAATATTAGGATAAAACATTCTGGTCCTAAACACAGGTCACAGATGGTTTCTAAGTGGTATCCTCCAACCACACCTCACTGCTGCTGCCAGGTACATTATTTCTCATCTATAAGCATATATTCTAAGGCAGAAGGGAGAGTTGTGCCTCTACCACGACACTCACTCATATAAAAATAACTCCTATGTGGGCAATTCCTGGCGGCCCAATGGTTAGGACTCAGCGCTTTCACTGCTGGGGCCCAGGTTCAATCCCTGATTGGGGAATTAAGACCCTGCAAGCCACGAGGCATGGCCAAAAAAAAAAAAAAAAAAAAATACAACTCTTATGAATCATAAGGAAAAGAAACAGCTCAATAGTTAGATAAATGAAATTAATAAGACAATTTATAAAAGAATAGAAAATTAAGATATGAAAAGATGTTCTATCACATTAATAGTTAAATATGACTTCAAATAATAAAAATCTATTTCCCTCCTCTTAGATGGGCAATGATCAAAAAGAATGATAACACCCAATGCTGGCAACGGTAAGGGGGAAATAAACGGTCTCATATCCTAAAGGCAAAAGTGTGAAACAGTAACACCCCTTAGAAGGACAATTTGGCAGGATCTGTACCTTTGATCCAGCTGTTCCTCTACTAGAAATTTATCCTTCAGAAATACTTGCATAAACGTACAAACACATATGTAAAAAAGAGATATTCACTGCAACACTGTTTAGACCAGGGATTGGCAAACTTTTCTTTAAATATAAATAGTTTTGGTGTTGCAAAGGCACACACTGTCACAACTACTCAACCCTGCTGTAGTAGAGAGAAAGCAGCCGTAGACAATCTGTAAACAAAAGGGTGTAGCTGTGTCCCAATAAAACTCGATTAACAAAAACCACCAACCCCTGGTTTAGACTAATGAAAGATCTTAATCTAAATGTGCATCAGTAGGCAATCCATTAAACAAACCATGGTATTCAGTGGAATAAGACGCAGCTATTACAGGGAATGAGTCAGATCTGTATAACGGAGATTGCGAAGTACTGACATGGAAATATAGCCAAGAGACAGCTTTAAGTGAAAAAAGCAAGTGTCCAAACTTTACTTATATGGTATGAGATCCCATTTCTGTTTTTCCTTTTTTTTTTTTTTATCCATTTCTGCTTTAAAAACACACACACACAAACACCTGAAAGAATATACCCCTACTCTTTATATCAGTAAGAACTGTCTGGGTTAGGGGAATGAAAACTTCGCTTTGTACATTATACTTTTCTTTAATGTTCGGATTTTTATACAAAGATTATTAGTTTTAATTCAGAAAAGTATACTTTTTTTAAATGAAAAAGAAAGCAACCGGGAAACTTAAAAAAAAAAGAAAAAAACCTTGAAAAAGGAAAACCACCACTTCCATTCTGTGTGGTACGAGCTATCACTTTGCACATGCAGACATATTGTACTCACTTGTAACCACAGTGTTCAAAGCTTTTTGCATTCTGTTTTTTGTAACTTAATATTCTAACAAGGATTCTTCCATGTTTTAACAGGTGAAATACTGTACTATGTAAGCCACTGTTCTATTTTTAACTCCAGTTTGGAGTTAATACAGATTATTTTGCAAAAATCACGTGCATATATATTCATGAGTATAGCTGACTGTGCTGAGTACTTTTTCTAGGAGAGGGATTAGTGAGTCAAAGAATATGGGAAACATTATGGCTTCTTAATGAATATTTCCATATTGCTTTTCTAAGGATCGTTACTGGTTAGTGACAATGCAACCAGCAGTTGTATATTACAAGGCAATGTATGAACACAGGTCCTTATACTAATAATATCACTACTGTGTGTTATCTGTGTACTATATGCAAGCTCATTTACTTTCTACCTCATGATTTACATGTCATGCTGCCATATTTAATAGAATTCTCATACAACAATCCTATCAGGTAGATACTACTATTATCCCCATTTTATAAAAGAGGAAACAAGTGAAGAGTAACTTAGGCCAAGTCACAAACCAATTAGGTGGTGGAGCCAGGATCTGAACCCACTTCTGTCTGAAGAGAGGTCCTTTGCTGAACCCTTCCTCTACTTTGCCTCCTTGGCCACAGCCCTCTATTAGATGCATGGTTGTTTCTTGTAACAGCCCCAAAAGTGTGCTCATGTCATAATCCCAGAGAGCATTCAGTAAAACTAACCCCCTAAGAGCCAAAACACCAAAGTGATGGCACGTTTTCTATGGTTGATAATAATGGCTATTTATTTGGTCCTTATATTATGACAGACGCTGTTTTAAGCACTTCATAAGAATGGACTCTCTTAGTTCTCATGACAACCCAATGAGGTAGATATTAGTATTATCCCCAATTTACAGACTAGCAAACTGAGGCACAGAGCCATTAGGCTCTTGGCCCAAGGTCTCCCACTAGTTGGTGGAGGTGCCAGGTTAGAGTAAGTCAACTTGGCCCCAGAATCCGCAGAGTAACCTGAACTACTACCTGGACTGTCTCTAAGTGAAAGTCTTTCCTCTGCTTGAATCTAGAGGCCTTCAAAGGCACATTTTAAAAACGATGGTATCAAAACAACATAAAATAAGTGAGAATCATTAATTCTTATTAGTTGGTGCTTTAGAGAAGCCTTTGATTTTATCATTCCTGGTAATACCCTAAAATGGGACTTTCCAAGCTCGGTGACAAGTCGCACCTTTGGGGTCATGCTGTTGGTGATGCAGAAGGCCAGGTGCTGCAGGATGCTCTCCATGCTGTGGTAGTGCTGCTGCCGGGTGGTGCGCAGGTACTTCTGCAGAGCCCGGGCCATGGAGGGGAAGATGGCCTGGGCGGCCTCCCTGGGGTCCATCACCTCCCCTGGGGCTTTCTGCTGCTCCTCAGCCTGGAGACGCTGGATGTGGACGAAGGCCTCCTCCACTGCAACCACCAGCCTGCAGGCGATGAAACGCAGCAGTCAGGACCGTGGTGCAGGGCTTGAGAACAGAGTCACACTGAATGTGGGATGACTCCTCCCAGTCTGCCACCAGCTCACGCAAGGCTCCAGTCCTTAGCTGACACTCCAGATGGTTGGGAGAGGAGGGAAGGGGAAAGGAAGGCAAAGGCAAAAATAATACGTGGAATGGGGGCTCCAGGGTGAGGAGGAAGGAGGCTGGGGGTCGGAGATGACTTCTGTTCTCAATTCTGCCACTAATTTACTCGGGAGACTCAGTTCAGTCCCTTTCATCTTTACAATGAAGGGTTAGATGAAAAGAGTTTTAAGGCCCCTCAGACTCTGGCTACAAAAGGCTCTGCTTGCACTGAGAGGTGGCTGGTGGTGCGGGAGCAGCCTTACGGAGAGCCAGAGCTGTATCCCCGGATCCAGCCGCCCATACCAGCAGCCCCTGGGAGAAAAGAAGGAAGGGGCCCAGCACACATGATGAAAACCATCTCTGTCCACTTCGGCTAATGTGATCCGATCTTGAAAATCAGCAAGAGCCTGGGGCTATAGGGCGGGCCACTCAAAGTGCGGGCTGCCGGCCAGCAGCTTCATCATCAGTTGGGAATTTTAAAGAAATGCAAATTCTTGGGTGGGCCCCACTCTAGACCTTCAGAAAAGTTAAGTATCCGTTGTTGCCGTTGCCGGTAGGGCCCAGAAGCTGAGATCTGTGTTTTAACAAGTCCTCCAGGTGATGCTTTTGAATGCTAAAGTTTGAGAAACACTGGAGCAAGATTCCCTCCAAAGGCCCAAGCAGGTCATGTTTATAAACTGAAATTTCATTCTGGTTAAAAAAAAGTCTTACAGAGAACAGACTGTGGGTTGCCAAGGGGGAGGGGGTTGGGGGAGGGAAGGAGTGGGAGTTTGGGATTAGCAGATGCAAGCTGTTATATACATAAGATGGATAAACAACAAGATCCTACTGTATAGCACAGGGAACTGTATTCAATATCCTGTAATAAACCACAATGGAAAAGAATACGAAAAAGAATGTACGTATATGTATAACTGAGTCACTTTGCTGTATAGTAGAAATGAACACATTGTAAATCGACTACACTTCGATAAAATAAATTTTTGAAAAAGAGTGTTAGTATGCCATTCAAAAGAAAAGTGTGTTACAGGCATGCTAGTGTTGGGGGGTGGGCAGTGTACCTGGCTCTCCGCTTCTTCACCCGCCGTTCATGTTCCGCCTCCTCATAATACAACTCGTTGTGGCTCGAGTCCCTGCGCCGAGCAGCTGCGGCGATCATTGCCCGGGACTGACCAGTGGCGTTATTACTGGGGCCTTTGGGGGAAAGGACGATGGAGGAAGGACAGTTTTAATGCCTTGGGGCTGCGAAACAGAGCAGAAAACTAGTCCACAGTCTGTCAGTACCGTCTGCCCATCCCCTGTGAAGCACATACACAAATCCCAAAAGCAACTTCCCAGAAGGGTGAACAGGACCCCTGCTCTGCGTTCAAAATGCTCACAAGAAGAAGGATATCTCCCCAAACTCCAACTTGATGAGTGGAAATGGAAAAAGAACTCCGAAGGAGATGAAGAATGCCTGACAATTAAAATGCTGGCCAAAAATAGCACAGACTGTGCTGAAGATGTTACTTACCATCTGTTACATAAAGTTCCATTTTGGCCATGAGGGCAGCTGGAACATTCATTTCAGCGACAAGACAATGGGAGAGAATGAGAGGGATGGGGGGAACGGGACAGAGGAAAAAGAGAGTCAATGGCCACGGAGACGTTAACCACACACGTGCTGGAGGGTCACGGTAGCCACAACTTTTACAGAAAATACCCATGCTTGGGGTCTTGCAAAATGTCATGTTTATTAATACACACCTAGAACTCCTGGTCTCGTTCCCCTGACCATGACTGCCTTAACTTTTTAGAAGGACGAGGCGGACTGTACGCTTTCTTACGTAGCATCTACTTAATGGCCTGGCTTGCTAGTGGGATTCTGCACTAGGTTTGTGAAATTTACCAACCCTTTAGGATTCACAAGCGACTGCACATCTCATAGAGCCAAAAACAAAAAAAGGGGGAGGATATTGTCACTAAAACTGACACCGCCTATAAATCACTTGACTTGTTAACAATATGATCCTCTTCTAGGCTTTGCAAAGCTCTTGCCCTGACCCAAGGTACCTGGCAAGAAATGACACCGTGTCCTGTTTCTTGCACTTAACCATCTGATAGCCCGAAACACAGCTCTGATGTCCCCAGCCTGGCCTCCGGCCTCCAGCCACCCACTCAACTCTGGTTCTCAGCCAGGACTGACAAATGCCTGTAAGAATCTCACCAGAGGCCTGAATTATAGACTTAATGGATTGGGGTAGCTGAATCTTCGGTAATTTATCCAAATTCTGAAAAGCAGCCTTTTCCTATGAGCTTTCAATGTAAGATGTTCACAACAGGAGGCAGGAAACCCACATCACTCCTGTTTCATGTAGTTTTCATAAAATCCTCAAATGAATGAGTCTCCCACATATGCAGACGATCAATCAACATTTCTCTAAAAATATCTTTGTCAGGAAAAAAAAAAAAAAAAAAGGAAAGGAAAGAAAGGAAGAAAAGACAAAAGAAAAAGAAAAAAGGAATAATTGTTCTGAAATGAGAATGTACCATAAAGGCAGACCCTGAGAGGGGCAGAACCAAATGGAACATACAGTTTAATCTAAGTACTGGGTTGGCCAACTGCTCCCTGCACCCACCAGAGACACCACTTCAAGGCACGTACCATCTACGTTGTAGACTTTCAGCCCGGCCATGTGCTTGGCTGCTCGGAATTTGGAGGCTGTTAGGAGGTTGGGGTTATAGATGGTGAAATCTTTATAGTAATTTTCCAGAACCACCAATGCTGCTCGCTGGATACTGAGAAAAGAAGGCAAAATTAATGCAGTTTTTCCAAGCAGGTTCTATGTGAAAAAAATCCTCTTTTGGAGTCAGGTAAAATAACGGGTCACCAAGGATAACCGCACATAGAAGGCTCCTGGGTTTCACCACATCTTTTGTCTCCAGAACAAGAATTTAAAGATGAAACTCAGGTCCCATCGTTCAGTGGCTTCTGTGCCTTCTCCCAGGCTACATCATTAGCCACATCCCATCTAGCCAATACGCGAGAAAGGAATGTTATACCTTCTAATTTAGATTTGCTTAGGCTACACAGAACGTTCCTCGTTTTCTCAGTTTACGGAAGAGCAAATTGAGGACCCCAAAAAGGTCAAGGACTAACAGATGGCTGCAGAGCTACTGAGTGAAACAACGAAGTGTAGATTCAGGTTTGTCAGGTCCTAGAGCAGCGTTTCTACCTACACCTCATTGCCCCTGATGGAAGGAATGTAGGGTTTTCAGTTTTCTGTAGGTCAAAACAACACCCACACGGGGCAAAGTGCACTGGAAAAATACTGGCTGCAAACACTAGTTAATCCTGATTCCTACTCTTCATCCCATCCATCCCAGGCCAGCGAGAGCTCCCTCTTTCAGAGGAAACAAGATCCTTTTCCCTGAGCCCCCTGAGGCCTCAGCTGAGACCTCACTCTTTCTCGGTCTACAAGGCCTCCTGCTCCGTGGGTTGCTGTTTCCAGTCCTCCGCAGGGGTGTGTGAAGAGGACTCCACTTGCCAGTGTCCTACGATCTTTAACCTGTCACCAGCTTGGCCCCTCTGAGAGCAGCAGAGGAGCAGAGAAGAGGTAGCAGGGTGGGTGAAGGGGGCACCCATACTCAGTATTGGTCGCAAAAGAACATGCTCTTGGGCACAGATACGGGACACTCACCACTTCAAAGAGTGACCTGTCATAACACAGCCAGGGATTTTACATACCTCATCTCATCTGACCCTCACAATCGTTCAAGGGAAGAAAACCAAGGCTGAAAAATCTATGACCTGCAAACAGGACACATCTACCAAATGCCATATTTGGAAGAGCTGGAACTCCAATCTGTTCCTTCTCCCAGATGTGTGGCCACTGTAGGACAGTGTACGTACGCACCGACCTCTCCAGGTCTCTAAGATGTTTACCAACCACCAGTGTGCTAAACTCCACATAGTTATTTGTATCTTGCCCTTTATATTTTTCTTCCTGTTTCCCTGCTAAGTAGGTGAGCTTATAAGGATTATTTACAATAGCCTGGGCACCAGGATAGGGCTGCCTTCGATTCCTGGATGACCACACTGCCTTCTACAGCTCTCCGAGTGGCTCAGGGTTCTTCACACCAAGACAAGACAGCCCCTAACCCATCAGCTTGACACTCTGCCAACCCAGTCCTCAGCTCCCCTTGGGGCTGTGCCCCCAGAGTTTAACATGGAGTCGAAAAACAATCTAGAAGTCAATCAGCTAACCTCCTTGAGAGCAGAGTCATGGCAATGCTTTCTTACTCATATCCCCACAGTGCCTCGATCCATGATCCGCATTCAGCTGGGGCTTAGTATCAACCTAGATATGCACACTCATGCGGGGCTGGGGAAATCTGGGAAGACCAACTTCCTATAACAGAAGTATAAGATTCCTAAGAGCAAATTCACATTCAAAAGCCCTAGTCATTTAGTCTTCCAGTTGCCCACTCACCACTCTCATATTTAAGAACCTATGTCAGCCAAGCTCTGGGAATGCAGAGATAGGGTGGGAGGAGCTTCTCCTTGCCGGCGTTATGTGGAACAGAAGCTCTGTGACCACGAACTGGAATACACAGGGGCTGAGGAAGCGCAGAGGGGGGCTTCTAAGCATCTAGGACTTGGGTAGGCATAAGAGCAGCTTCCTGAGGAAGTGAAGTGGCCCTTGAGTTGAGGTCTGTGTGTCACAGATCTTTGTGCAGAAGTCCTCTTGGCTTCCACAGACACCCTGCCCGGCGGATCCCCGGCTCAGCATGGCCAGCCTCGGCTCTGTCCCTGTGTCCGTGACATTCTCGCACGGGCGGGGCACGTGCTGCTTCTCCACCTCCTGCTCCATCCTGAGGCTGACGGCGGCCTCTGCCTGCTCGCTGATCACACACGAACGCTCCCTCCTACGCACCTCCACCCGCCTGCCCAGGCACTGCTTTTCCAAAGTCTCTGGGCTTCTTGGAGATGAGGAGCCCCTCTACACAGAAGGAGGTCTGTTCATGTGCACAGACTTGCCGCACGCAGGCTACTTCATCCCAGGCTCCTGTGCTGACATGGACACATCTCAAGGGGCCTGGATTCCAGCAGAGAAGTATTTCCCTGATCAAGATTTAAAACTTAAAAAGGCAACTCAGAGGTTATGCTCAGGCCCATCTTCAAAGCAAACCCTCTTGTGGTTGTGGGGTTTGGCTTTTCTGTTCAGCCAGCCCGCAAGGAGGGGCCCAGGGCACCACACTACCTCGGCCGGGGCCTGCAAGGCAGAGAGGGAACGGCTGGACCGGAGCCTGGCGGCCCTGTTTCCCAACCTCTCTACCCCCAAAGCCACCATGCCGCCCAGAGAAGGGGTGTCCGTCCACACCCAGCTCTGGCAGGAGCCTTGCTCTCCAAACTGGGCAAGTCCACAGTCAGCATTACGCCAGAGCCCTGGGCGGCCTGGGGAGGGCTCAAGGACTGGACAGGAGCCTCCCCAGGCTCGGGAGCCTTTGCTCAGAAAACCAAACAAGGGGCAGGGCTCGGGTGATGTTTTCTTCCTTCAGACCCGTCTCAACAGAGAGGCACCAGAAAGCCCCAGAATCAGCTGTGGACCTGCCTGCCTCCACAGGCTGACAAGCTAACACAGGAGCTAAAAAAAAAAAAAAAAAAAAAAGTTGAGATTTGGATTAAAATCCAATCTGCCTTTCTTCACCTTTTTTTTTTTTTTTGGCGGTACGCGGGCCTCTCACTGCCGTGGCCTCTCCCGTTGCGGAGCACAGGCTCCGGACGCGCAGGCTCAGCGGCCATGGCTCACGGGCCCAGCCGCTCCACGGCACGTGGGATCTTCCCGGACCGGGGCACAAACCCATGTCCTCTGCATCGGCAGGCGGACTCTCAACCACTGCGCCACCAGGGAAACCCCTCTTCACCTTTTTGAAGAGAGCAGACTGTAATATATGACGTAAGTCTTGCTGGTGAGTCAGGGTGATCACCAGCCCCAATGAGGTACCGGGCTGTGCTTCGTATGCACCAGAGGGGGGTGTCAGAGCCCTTAGGCGGCCGGGCTTCCTCCTGGCGCCCATGCTGCAGTCACCTTGAGTACTCACAGCCGTTTTCTCTCATTCTTCACCATGTTCTCTCTCACGACTGGCTACCAAAGTCGTTCCTAGCTGCTGTCAACCTCGCTGCCTCAGGCAATGATCCTCTGTTCTTGTACATCTTCAACCTTGGTATAAATAGAGAAAATGGGCTTTGCGGCACCGGAGTGAGGCGCTCTGCTCGGGCTAGGTGATATCCGCTCCAGTACGGCAGTCCGATGTCGATTTCAATCCCAAATCTAAGGGCTTTCTCATTTCTGTTCTGGCTCCTGATTCATGCTCTGGACTGGCTGAGTTTGTTAGATAACTTCAGAATAAAAGAAATCTACAACTACTATATCATTTGGCATCTACTGAGGGGACCCCACCCTGCAGGGCACCCTAGCATCAGCCTAAGTTATGCCTCCACAATGCCAGGATGCAGGAGCACCCCTGTCCTCAGCCAGTGTTGGGGTTCAGAAGCCCCCTGCCTCTGCTCCTTGGCATCTTCCAAATATGGCATCTCACAGGGCCGAAGCAGGGCTGATTTCTTTCAGGAAGCCTTTTCCAACCCTCTGGTCCCCACTGACCTGTCAGGGGAGTCACACGGGCGAGGCTTGCTCTCCAACAAGCCCCGGGAAAGTCCCCCACGCACGGGGACACCTGCGGTGGCTTCCCCACGGTGCACGGTACTCGTTGGCTCAACCTGCACATTTAGGAAACCCTAGTAATTGTCACAGGTATAGGATCAGTTCTGAGCATGTATTTCCTAAAACCATGGAGTTTCAGAGGCAGAGGGGCCTCAGAGATGAACAAGAGCAAACCCTTCAACTAGCCCCAGTCTCCGGACCAGACTGTCTCTGGGGAAGGAGGGAGGCAAGAAAAACTGAGCTGGTGAGACAGTTGCTGCCTCTCTTATGACTACCACAGTCATAGACAAATGACAGTAACCTGACTAAACGATCCTCATGCAGAAACCCCGTATACAGGCAGGCGGAGCCTGATGTCCAGACTGATTGTGGACATGGCCACACCAAAAACCCATGCGAGGAGCACTTTCCCAAGATACGGAACTCTGAGCTCAATAATTACACCCTCCCAGGGAAATGCCCCTTTTCACAGACCACATATATTTGTGGAAAACAGCGCATGGATACGCATAGCTCATAACAGAAATTCACTTGAGACCTGCACTTAAAAACACAAGTATAGGAATCCCAGATACGCCTAGAAAAGGACAACATGGATGATGGACTAGCCACGATCAGGACCAGAAGTTGATGCTGTTCCCAGTGGGAAAGTAACCCCCCTAACTCTACTTGGTCCAAACTTGAGCTCGTGGATGAGACAGGGCAGCAATGGATCAGCACAAATGTCTGAGGGAATTCAACAGCCACAGCTGAATCTGAAACTCACCCTTGACCATGTTGCCTTACTGGTCTATTTTCTTTTCAGGACAAAGAGGGTGCAATGTGAAATGCTATGTCTAATCAGCTACAAAACATCTTCCAGGGTCAGTGACAACTGTCATACAAAACTGCCATGGCAATGAGCTCGTGCTACATTTCTAAAACACATTTGGAGAGAAGCACCTCTAAACACAGTTCAAATTTTAGTTCATAAAACTCTGAAAGACGTGTCTTTGAAAAATAAATTCTGAAAAACAAAACCAAACTAATGCCCTACGTATCTGTACCCCCACAGCCTCTCCACTCTCTCTGACT